ATATAAATGCAGATCATACGCCAAGTACTGTAATAGTTTCCTGCTATGGAGGAGAAGACTAAAAGTCTGTAGGCAACCCCAGGCTGTAAGCTGTATTACCCCATGTCTGTCAGCGAGGTGTCCTCACCCGGGATCCTGCGAGGGTCTGCCAACAGCCTTCGACAGCGAGGCCGTCTTGCCCATTCCCTCGAGCAATGGCTTCAAGAGTCAGGATTTTTTACAGGACTCTGTTGAAACCCTCGCAGAAGGCTACAGTCTGTTGTGTCCCCATCTTTAATGGTCTTCTGTTATATGGTACCGTTATTGCTGTTTGTACGGGCACTGTACTCCCAAACACATGAAGATTAATTATATAGCTGCTTGATTTTGTGTCAAAACCCCCACTGAAGGTGCTCGTCAACCTAAAGATGCAGGTAACCCGTATCTGCAGTCACACTGCTGACAGCAAGTAGACTCTGTGAGAGTGACAATATGGTGAGTGTGTCTAACTATAGTAAGAACAAAGTAGGAAGTCTACTTAAATTTCACTGTTCACCTTTTCTCCCCTAACTTGGAATAAGTACTGTCTACGTTTCTAGTACATTTTCCAATGCTGATTTTTCCCATCAGGCAAAGTTACTTCGCACTCTAATAATGTACAAATTAATCCATTCCAGTACAAAACTGGATATTATATTGCAGAGATGCAAAATCATGAGACACTGAGCCGTGAAAGTTTTAATATGAAATTTAATAATAAAGAAATAGCATATTGTAATTTTATCCCAGAGGAGCTGACTTTGAAAACTTAATTCTGGTGTATTTAAATAAAATTTTTACTGTTATTTTTAAATGTGATTAAAATTTAATATATAATCTGGCACATCTTTGCGATGCCTGATCTCAGTGGTCTTACGAGATTTTAACCAGCTGAAAATGCTGCCAAGCTCCAGCTGTAAAGCTTCCATCATATTTTGAGATGTGCCACTCTTCTCCAAAGCTGTAGAACTATCCTCTGAAGCTGTATTATAGATTTATTTGTACTCAAGATCTGTTAGTAATTTCTGTTGGAGGGTGGTGCCCAATATTTGGTAAAAATGCAGTTTTCAATATATGTTTGCGAAAAAAAAAGAATAAGACAGTTTAAATCAGAAAGATTGCATCTAACTGTAAAGGTAGGGTACTGGCGTTACACAGCTAAGAAATGTCAAATATTTACATGCTGTCCAAAAAATAACTTTGCTTATGCCTAAGGGGGAAAACCAGCATGAATTAAAAGTGACAGCCTTTAGAAAGGAATCAGTCCTTTTCCCATGTACCATTTCCCTCTACAGATGGTCTAATTTGATGTGAACATTGGTTTAGAATTGAGCTCAGGAAGACTGAAGTCAATGGCAAACGGGAAATCTGTTATCTTAACACTGTCTGATCAGCTCGATTGCGTCCGTGGTTCACTCCAAAAAAAGCCATTATCAGAGGAACTATCTGGTATTGGCTTGAAACTATGGTGCCTCACTGCTGAATTGGAAACGTCAAACACCACATCCTCATCACATTCCATTCCTGTAAGGAGAAAGCCCCCTGGATTCTTGCAGTGGGGTCAGCACTGATAATTAACAGTGCAGTGCATGAAACTGCTGTTTAATAAACCTCCCATCTCCACTTCCAGTGCAAGTTCTCTTGAGAAATATAGGTGTTCGTTGGGGTCTGAAGGCTTTCAGCCTATTTTATGAGGGCCTCAGTACCATTTAGAAGACCACAAAAGGAATGTATCTCCCTTTTTTTGTAAAAGGTTATGCATCTTCATGGTGCTAGGAGCTTCCTACAAATGAAGATGTACATCCCACTGAGAACAGTCAACATTGGAATAATCTCACCAGGGAAGTGGTTGACTCCGCCACATTGGACACTCTTAAGACACAGCTGGACAGGGTGCTGGGCCATCTTGTCTAGACTGTGCTCTTGCCTAGAAAGGTTGGACTACATGATCCTTGAGCTCCTTTCCAACCTGGGATTCTATGATCTCTTTGAAGTAAAATGTAAAACCACTGAGAGGTTCATGAAAACTGCTCAGATTTGTATGAAATCACACCCTGTTAAGGCTAAGCAGGGAGGTTCCCTTCTTAACCCAAGGTGAGATAAATGGCAGGACTAGCATGGCACTCAGGATTTACCGCCCATCGTTCCTGTTCTTCCTGCGGTGTACCACCATCTAACACCTGCAAGGCTCTTCGCTTGTTCGTTAGTTTAGTTTTAGCGAGCACCTTGCAGGACCAGAAGCTCTCTTGTAGGCTAGGTCTGTCAGAAAGCCTGTTATTTCTACCGACTTACTTAGGTTGTGTGGTAGCTGTGGGTATTTAGAAACAGAGTAAAGCCACAAAAGCCTCCTGACAGTAAAAGACAAAGTGTCATGCACCAATCATGTGAACAAAAGTAAAAGTGAAAAGAGCTTGTCCCAGACTTAATTAATTTCTTTGCTTGTTTTTTTTCCTTGGGTATCTCATGTAAACGCTAAGGTTTCTGAGTGGCTTCACACATTCAGTTAGTGGCTCAAGTCATGTCTGTTGATTCAACCCCCTCCACCTCAATTTTCACTCCACCCAAATCACAAGTGATCCTAAAGGAAATTAAAAATGCTACAGGTATGTAATGAAACTGAGAAATAATGCAGTAACTGTAATGTAGTAACTACGAGCCAGACTGAGACTTTGTCTCACTTTTTATTTTACTGTGGAATTTAGAGGCAAGGCATGGTTTCTTTTTTTTAATAAGATGTGCTAGGATTCTGTTCTGCAAGGAAATACTTGAATGTGTTTGTGGGTACAGAGATGGATGAACTTAAAAATAACTGAAAAAGTGGAGTAGTCTCAGCAAATAGCTGGATTAGCATTCAACACCCATAGATTTTGGTAGCTGAAGAGCTGTCCCTTTGTTTATCAATATTTGGAGGTATTATAATGTTGAAATTGAAGTACAGATCTTCAATTTAATCTTAAATCTTGTTAAATCTTGTTAAATCTTAAAAAAAAATATCAATCTTTAGGTATAGTGATATTAACAGGAGAGGTTTGAGGTGTGCTACTGCATGGGTTTCACAGTCCCTCTTAAGAACCAGGTGGCCCTAAGGACACAGGTTTGGCTTCAGATCCGCTTTGCAAACAAAAAACCAAAAAACAAAGCAGAGCTGGGGAGGCACAGACCTGCATCCCAGGGGCTCCCCCCTCCTGCGGCCCAGCATGAATGCAGGAGCTGGCTTTGCCAAGCTGGCTAGTGGAGGTTTCTCTTGCATGAGGCAGATGCCCCACTAGTCTTCTCCAGCTCCTTTAAAGTCATTTTGCTCTGCTTATGCAAGGCATTATGGCCAAAGCAAATCAAATAATTCATCCATGAATGCTTAGAGCAGATTTTATGCAAATACATATATAAAAATATCTATACACATATCTATAGGAATGAATAACTACATCTGTATCATTTTACAATATACAGAAATGATAAAGATATACAGAAATGTTTTGAAATGACAAATATCAAACAAAGGGATCCTTGATATAAACATTCCTTAGCCAAAAGGTACAGTTTACTTAAATAGGAATATTTATCAAAGTAAGAGCTTGAGCATCAAGTCCAAATATAAAGTAGTTTTATTTTACAATCTTCAGTATTTAAATATAAATGAAAAGTAGCATATAGCTACCATCTGTAAAATGTATCTAAGAATGGAATAAATCTTAATACTTATCATAAGAATGGCCAGAATGGCTTCCCTAAGGAAGATGGCTCATAATGAATATTTGCAGTTTCCTCTATGCTGGGAAATTGTTTATTTAGGAAAATCTCTACCTTAAGTCTGTTGAAAAACTGTTACTTTCTTATGTATAGGACTGCGGCAGACTAACACAGTTAAATGTATACATATACGGTTAAGCTCCTGGTAGCACAACTTCTGTTCTCTTTCACACCTTAAACAGCCCTAGGTTTCTAGTGCCCAGTGTAGGTAACTGAATGAAAAAGATTGCTTAACACGAGCAGATGAAAAAACAATTTAACTGATGGCCACAAACAGAGCTTAGAGTTTGTCATGGCTACAAAGATTTTCTGTCAGGGTATAAAAGCAATTAATCAGTATGCAGAAGGTACTGCCTGCCCCATAGAGATGCTAATTTTGTGACACTTTGGAAACTCATGTTCTACATTTACTGTTCACACTCGAGGGAAGCTAACCAGCCTTAGCTTGAGCTAATGAAATCAAAAGACTGCAAAATGTCACATTTTCTTATCCCCATGCAGTCTTAATTTTGAGATCTTTAGTTTCTTTCTGTAAGTTGTCTGACAACCACAGTGCTGACTGAAGATCACAAAACACAATTGTCCTAAAGACTGGAAAGTTATATTTTTACAGAACTGCCGTAGCCAGTTTATCTGCAGAAAATAAAGGGCCTGTCAGTTTGCTGCTCAAGTATTTTTGGAAAATGACAAAAAAACCCACGACCAATTAAAGGAATTGTAGTATAGCAGAACAATGATCAAGTGTTTCAACATGCTATTACTGGGGACTTTAATCTTGCTTTCTTTTTTCTTTTTTTCCCCCCAAAATGCTATAAAAATTATCTGTATCCATAGTTTACATATAGCAGACATATTTAGGTAGAAAAATCTGTTACAAATGCTGTTAACAGTAGCCGTTTGGAAGTATAGTTCCCTGCTTACTCTTAGTTAGGACCTAATATAGAAGCTGTTCCTATTTTTAAAAAAAGGCACTAAATAATAGAGCAATTTCAAGAACTTGTAACCACAAAATGTTCTGGAAAAATAAAAAAAGCAGAACAGCTACTACCATTTTTTTTCCCACTGCCCTCTGCAGTCATTTTGTTTTAAAATCCTTGGAGAGACTAAGCCACCTGGTTAAACATATTCCTCTACAGCTGCACACACACACAAAAAAAAAATCAGAGCCTTTAGAGTAGCTCCATTTGCTTTCCTACTGTCCGAGTTCCAAGTGCATAGCCGTTGGGACTCACCTAGAGCCGAGTCGCAGATGAGCTGCTGCGGATGGGCAGGGGCACAGCTGCACGCCTCCACCAGCTCCTCAATTCTGTGGGTCAGAAGCAGAAGTGCTGAGAACCACAAGGTGCTAAGCACAGGATTCATGTTGCCTTTAAGCACAGCTAATCAGTCAGCCAGGGGGAAATGCTTTCTTACTGTCCGTTTTATATCTAAACTTCCTAACAGCTATCTGATTTCTTCTGCGTGCAGTTCGATTGCAACAGGCTTGGATGGTTTAGGAAAGCCCTCTAATGCTCGCTCTGGGTATACGCTTATGTTAACTGACTTCTAATTTCCCTGACATAGGACCCTCTTATTTATGGCCCTGACACTAACTCCTAACTCCGCCTTCCTTTAAGGAAAAAGCACATCATTGGTGAAAGTTGTTGTACCAGAAGAGAGGTTACCTTAGTAAGCATTGCAATGTTGCTGTTATGAGTCAGTAGAACTATTAATAATCAAAAGCCTTTATAAAAACATCTTTTACAAGTATCTGAAGCTGGTTTTATGATCTTAAGCAGAAGAAAGATTTTATCTTTTTCTAGTAAATTTCCGTCCAGTTTGAATTTAAACCCTGGTTCTGCTACCTTCTCTATTTTGGTCGAGTAAACAAAGCTGCCCTTTTTTAAGCTCTGTTTTCATTTGCAGTCCCTGATCTTCCCCTGCACTTCTGTGCATTTTCTTGAAATGATGTCCCTGTTTGCAGGCTGGACAGAACTTCATTCATGAAAAGGCAATGTTTCAATGATCTATTTGTGAGCCTTGGACAATTGGTAATTACAAGGAATAATAACTTTAAAATAAAAGCAGCAATAAAAGTAATTTTTATTATTTCATCGCAGATTTCATTTAAAATAACAAGGAAAAATATACCAATCGTGTATGTTGGAGGCAACGGCTCTTTCTCTGCACTCCTTATTCATGTAAGCCCTAATCAACACAAATCTGTTTCTGTATTTTCTGGCTCATGTTATATGTGGGACACAGACACAAATACAAGAGTTTGGAAATCTTTTTCAACTTCAGATCTTTTGTTGCTGTAGCAATCTGGATATGTGTAACATGTACACATCCTCTTTTCATAAAGAAGTTGTTTTGTGAGGGAGCAACATGCAGTTTGATTAGAGAGTAATAAAATACATATATAGGTTGACACGCAGGACAGAACTGCTTAAAGGATTGCATATTTTGTCACTTCACAAATCAAGCTTAACATATTCATTAAGATAATTTGAACCATTTCAATCCAGATTTGTGAAAATGTATTTTCTTGAGGTTTAAGTGTACACAATCTAACTTGCTATCTTTATATAGATATGTACATGTTTCACAGCACCAGATTTATTTTATTTTTGAACAGTAAGAGGTCATTTTACAACTATCAGTGCTCTGCTGCTTTTTTTTTCCTCCCACCCCCCAGAAAAAAATTCCCATCCGTTTAAAAAAAAAAACCAAAAAAAAACCCCAAAAAACCCCCACAAATATTCAGAATTATTAGTATTGGGTCTCATTTTCAGATTGTAGATCTACTTCAAAACTAAGCCAGGAATGTTGTACACTATGTCCTGATTCAGTTCAAGTAGTCATACTTGGATATTCATTTCTTCGGTCTGAAGGTTTGGCTTCAAATCATAAGGTTGGATCCAACTCCAGGACTAACACCTGAAAATAATTTAGACCTGTTAACATCTCCGTTCTTACTTGGAGGAAACTTAGTTCTTTCAGGAAGTTTTTCGTGTGAGTGAAAAGATAAAGAAGACGGGAGGCTGAAAACTTGCACAGGAAGTTCAAGCTACAAGAAGCCGCAAAAAAAAACCCCAGGCAGGTATTTTCTAGGACTATTGATTTTCAAGTCTCACTTAGGGCAGTAGAAGTGGAAAATGATGGAGGAATTGAGAGCCCATTGATTGGTTTCCAGATGACATCACATGGCTGTTGCTATAGATGATCTAAATAGATCAATTTGATTACTGCTTCAGTAAAATTCAAATAATAAAGAAATATGCTGGACAAACTGTCTTCTCTAACAATGAGCATACAGCTCTACCTGGTTAGACCGGTTAACTAAGGCATGTTTTGCCTAAGGTTGTCCAGAATAGCACACCAGACTACTATGCTCTGCATATCTTCAAGACCTTTATATCTAGTGCGATCAAACCAATTCTACAATCAAACTGAAAATATTATGCTCATAACAATATTTTAAAATAATTTTGCGAAAAGTTAAAAATTAATTCACAACTATCTTGTAGACATAGTTGAGAATTAAATAGTTCCATTCATCTGAATGTGTAGAAGCGTAAACATCCTAAAGCTAAATCTCATATGGTAATTGTAGAAATGCCATAAACTCACATTTTAATTATGGTGTTACACAGTATTGCCTGCAGCTACCCTTGAAATATTTTTTAAGAGTCTTTCAAAGCTATCTGTACCTTGGTGGAATATTTAAAGCACCTAGAGAAGCAAGTGGCAATAAGAGACGTCTTTCTTAAGAAATATATTCCCTATAGGTCTCTCTAGACCCAGTAAGCATTGGAAGGGATGGGCTTGGAGCATGCTATACGCAACAAGACCTTTCAGCAGTAATGTGGATTTTTAGTAGTGAAATTTGTGGTTAGAAGCTTTCTCAACGCTAACGTGAAACAACTGGTCACAACAGCAGGAAAAGCAGATACCTACACCAGTCAGTCCTAGGGTGCGGGGACTTACTCAAAGCTGCGACTTGAAACTGGCTGTTCTGCTGCCCACACAAGTCTAACTAACGAGCAGTTCTTTGGTAGATGTCTCTCTCATTTCTTCATTAAAGTATTGACACAATCTTATCATTAAAAAGTAAAAGGCCAGCAATTTTTGAAACCTCAGCAGAACGCCTGTTTTCTTCATGCTGAAACAGTAAGTTTTGTCAAATTACTATCAGAGTTTAGACAAAGACATATTTACATTGTAGCATTTGAAAGACATTTTAGTAAGCCTGGAAATATCTATACTCAGGAATGCGCTGTCACAAATGGAAGTAAATGCATTTTTAGTCCGTTTATCAGAGGAGACAAATATTACCTGTAGCTTGTACTGATATCAGTGCAGTGATTGAGTACCTGTTACCTTTGAACAGTATCAGCAAGCATTAGGTCTTAGCTAGAAGCTGCATTATCCTTCTTTGTATTGTGTATTGTAGTATTTGTCATTGTAGTGAGAAATTTACTTTTAGAGAGTTTAAAAGAAACCCTAGTCTCAGCACCCGTTCTGTATAAATTTAGATCTTGACCTTGTAAAATAAAGATTATTCCCAAAAGACATAGAAATATTCCTTGATGAACTTTTAAGCAAAATAATCTTTTATCTTAAATAATAGTAGAGAAATTATAGCCAACGTTTTATAAATACAAGCAGACTGAAGCAAAAGAAACACTTGGTCTTTTTACTATTTGTATAAATGGACTAACACTACAGGGCTTCTTTCACTATGCCGAACATTATGATGTCAGTTTTCCTTTAGTTTGATAAGTAAGCCATGATATCATAGCAAATTACATCATAATACTAGTCAAGCTCATGCCCACTCCTTGGTTATATTCCAATACAGCTAACACTCGCTAATAAGAAATGGAAAAGTTCATTTATCAAGGGATATAGTGACTGATTCCTCAATTCATTATTGACACAGTAGAAAAAAAAAACTTGGCAGTTTCTCATTTCTGCTTAGCTAAGTCTAGCGTTGAACAACTAATTCTGTTTTCTAGTAAAACCCAAGAAAATGAAGAGGGTTGGGTATAATCCACTGCATTTGTTGATGTGTGCAATATAGAAACAAGGCAGGAAACCTGACTACCTCAAATCAAATGATCAAATTTATGATCAGCTTGGTCTCTTCTCTGCACGAATTCTAATTTTGCATGGGACTTCTAAGTCTGGAGGGGCTTTCTGTACTGTGGCTTGTCATGATCCTTGTTAATTTTTACTGTGAAGCATTAGCATCTATCAACAGCATTGTGGTCATTAATTGTCATCACTGTTTCTTTCTCTTCTAACAGCCCCCAGAGACCTGTATTAAAAACACTAGGTCATCTTCTGTTGGTTGCCATACATGCAGAGTCCCGTGGAGTGAACTGCTGCTTCCCCTGAATTCCAGAGCAAACTCACACTGACTTTACAATATATTTTCATCTCTTCTCTGGGAGTTACTGGGGGCAAAAGGTGATGAGCGAGGTGCATCACCCTCGGAGCTGCCATGGGGAGAGGCAGCGCTGCCCCATCACTGCTACTCCGTGCTTCTTTCCTGCCCGTCCTCACTGTATCTGCTCTCTCCTCTTCCCTGTCAGCCCTTTGCAGCACCTCAGGTCTGCAGGATAATCCACCCACAGAGCTAACTGTGTCTGACCTGGACTGGGATGTTATTCCCTAGCACCCCTGTCTCCCCACCGAAATGCGTATTTCAGAAGAGGCAATACTGTGCATTCAGTTTACAGATTCCTGGGTACTGATCATGAGTATTTCTCTGGCAGGCTTGAGTTTGATAATTTGAGTTATGTCAAGGAGCGCTAAACTGGCTTGCATGGTGATTGTCCACAGAGCTTTTTCAAAGGCACTTTAATCATAACAGGGACACCTTGCTGTCCCTTCCAGCTGTCAAGTGGTTTGAAGCTACACAGATTCTTTTGGTTGTGCTGCCTGCTCTGTATGTTAGCTTCTGGCAGTCTACAGAATATAATTTTTTTAATCTATATAGATCTTATTTTCTCTCTGTTGTGGCAAACACGTCTTATTTTAGAATGATAGCAGGCAGGATTCTCCACAGTAATCATTTATCTGTTGCTTTCTTGGTGCTTTGCTAGAGTTCTTTGCTCCCTAGTTCTCATTTGGCATTGCATCTATTTTTCCTTAAAACTACTTTCAGTTTAACTGAGAGTCACAGTACACCTCCTGCACAAAACCTTTACAATCATGTAGAAAACTCAAAATTAGAATAGTGTTTCACAAAATAGATGAGCTTTCCTGGATTTTCAATTTCTCCGTATGTACTATAGCCTGATTCAGAAGGGAGGGTATTTATAGCTGTCACTTCCTAAATGATACAGTAAAAAAACCCATACAGTTTATAGTCA